AATTTAGTTACTGAACTATCAAGTTTTTTAGCTAAACAAGGTTTGATTTTGTGTGACGAGGAAACGATTTTTGCAGTCTTAAATAAATCATAAATAAGTTAGTGGACCGAACAGTAGCTACGTGAACTAAGCTTAAACTATTCATATTTTAACCCCACAGATTAACCCTCTGACGCCTATTGTTGTTTGTTATTCGCACCATCGTGAGCAGGCAGGTTTTTCAGTTTAGTTTATCTTAGTTAACTGTTAGTTTAGATAGTGGTGGACGATCGGCTTTACTAGTTCGAACTAACTGTCTTAGTGAAAGCGTACAGGTGCATAGCACGCGCGTAACTCCCAGCTAGTCTAACCTAGGTTCGCATTGGTGAAACATATCGAACTTCAATAGTGAAACAACACGTTACAATGTTATATCATGTCATTTCCACTATGTATTTTGTAACGTCGAGTTTGCTAAGTAAATGAATGTTGTATAAAACGACACACGAAATTTAGTCAATACGAGGCTGGGCAACTAGAAGAATGCATGAAAACAGAATGCTATAGGTAAATAATGATATGCCTAAACTTTTTTGGAATAGTATGTGAAATATGGGGAAAAAATCTTTAAAAAAAATAAGTCTATAAAAACGATACTTCATGAAGCGGTCATCGACCTAAGAGTAGGTCATCATACCTACAGTTTGTTAACTACTAATGAAATAAATAAATGTTATTAATATTATTAAAAATGTTATGAAAGTGAAAATTTTATTAATATTAAAATAAAATTATTGATTTATTACATATTTAAATATATTTTTCGAAAACAATCCTTTGTAATTATATTCCGTAAACGATACCAAATAAAAGAAAATTCTGTGCTCCAATCATGTATATAATATTTCAATGGCTACATACAATATGCGATAATACAGGGAGTGAAATTACAATAATTATAGAATAATTACCCAATCGATATAACTGTAATGAGATTTAGGTATATGTAATATTTATCTATGTACTAAAATTGTAACACCAATGTGAAGATAAAGCCCCTCCCATTTCAATTTTAAATAAACAATGGACAATGTAAATAAATGATAAGACAATGAAGCCGCTTATCGATACCTATTGTTATTTACATATGTACAATTTCTTATCACTGAAATCATAACGTAAAGTAAATATTTAACAAATATTTTTCTTTATCATAATCTGTTAATGAATCAATCCAGAGTATGTTAAAATTTATCATCATCATGAATGTCCCCACTGCTAGGGATCAGGTAACCCTATGAATGGAATCGAATAGGGTGAACGAGCCACGACCCACCACTCTGGTATAATGTGGATTAGTGGGTATTGACAACTGCAGATTTAGTCAGGACCAAGAGCTTAAGGTGTCTTGCGAAGCATGGATGGCTCGAAGTTATAAATTTTCGGACACCCATCTTACGACCGGTTCTTACGAAAGTGTCTTAACCTCCGCATCGCAGTCTCCACGCGCCAACTGCTGCACCACCTCTAATTAGAATGAATATACTTACGTTCCCTATTTATTCACAGAACCCTATTATTACTTACGTACCCTATTTTTATAATTCGCTCTATAATAGATGTAAGCAATTCTACATTCATAAGTCTGTAGTAAAAGGATTCATTAATTGCCGATGTTAATTTTTTTTACAAGAGTAAAGGTGCTTAAGGTTGAGTTGACAAACCTAATGTTTTCCCAGAACATGTCCTGGGATGTCCTGGATAGGAAGAATTAAATAAGATCCTGGGTTTTTTAGTAGAGTCCTGAGTTTTTAAGCAGTGTCCTGGATTTTTCTGGCACTCCGATGATTTTTTCTCAAAATTATTTGTAGTGAATTGCTAGGCAGGGTTGAAGTTCATCTCCGTATGTAAAGAAATAATATTAACGTTTTCTAAATAGTACTTTTCTACCTTCGTATCTAATGAACTGAATATTGTTTAATAAACCGACCGATTTTACCGATTTTAAATTGAATATAGATTCGATTTATAAGATATCACTCTCGGCAATCAACAACTGATAGTGCAGTGCAGCTTATGGATTGGTAATAAACACAAATTTCTCGATGCAAAATCAAATAGGCATCTTATTACTTTTCATTCTAGATCTTATAGAAATGCCAATCATGGTGTTTTATTACATTTACCGGATGGCCACCATTAGATCAGCATTTTAACGTTATATGGTAAATTTTCCACAGTGCTAACTTATATTGATTTACTTATATTTGTAACTTAAAAGGTTAAGGGGTGAATTTTACACATCTTTACCCTGAATATGGTTCCTATGAAAATGGAGCTTGTTAATCTCGATACTCTCGATATCTTGTCTAGAAACCGACCTTACCATGTTTACACATCTTCTAAAACATTTCTTCATCAATTATTTTAATTAGTAGGTTTTTGGCTGTTTTATATTTTCTTTCTGGTTTATTTTATAATGAACATAAATTAATACTTTTAGGTGTTGTATTATTTTATTTTTAATTTCAGTTATTTTAAAGAGGCAACATGTTTTATCGTAATAAAAATCATATATATCCTTTTCATGTTAAACTCTACCATAACAAATAATTAAAATGAAATATAATTATAGTTTTTCGTCAAAAAGTATTTAATAGGACTAGGTCTATTGTACCAAATTTTAGCTCGATCCGTCTAATAATTTTAGCTGTTCTTTGATCAGTAGGATACCTTTGCCTTTTGATATATAGATGTACTTACACAATGAATATTTGTTGTAAAAGTAGTATTAAAATGTTCTAGATTGATCCGTGATTCGTGGTTCTTGTCTGTGTCATCCGCAGGACTCGTGATGCTCCCTGTGGAGCGTACGTTATTATCATAGCATTTGAGTCTGACCCTACCTGAACTAGTTCTGGAGCTTACAATAACACTAAATAGATCGTGTCCTCTTGTAACTAATGCAGTGACAGACTGAGGTAGACGAATGTGATATAAAAACTACATCTAGGCACGTTGGTTTGATTTGATTTCGATATCTTATAGATAATACTTCACAATCTGTATACTCTTTAAAATTATTATGTATATAATAAACTTTGTTTACTAAATGATTTACGCTAGGTTACAAGTCAATTTTTGACGTCAGAACGCGTAGTAAGAATTTTTGCTTGTTTCTTATTTTTTGACACGCACTACACATTAAATAAAATTACTTTCAAACGGTTTTAATCGTGTATGTTTTAGTTTTCGAATCCTTTACTGGTTCCATGTTTTATTCACTTGTGTTCTCCGAAAATAGTGTTCCTGTTATATTTTCCTTAGTTCATCTCTGTTGCAAGAAAGCTCTCGCCTCGTCACCTGCGAGAGCGTGGGCTGACCCATTGTATGGTAATGCGCGGGACAGATCTGCTGCTCGGGAATTATTCGAACTGACACAATATCGTCAACTTCATCTCGCACGGTGATTAATAGCTTTTGAGGCATGCCACTTTAGATTGATTGGGCTTTAATGCCCAGATCTGCATAATGGAGTTTCTATTGATTTTTTTTATTATAATATAGAATAGCAAGCAGGTTTTCAAAATGGTCAATAGTGATAAAGACAAGTCACTTACTGATGCTGAATTTAACGATCCAAATTGGTACTTAGGTATTTAGAACATATATAGTTTCTGAAATTCAGTAAAGTATAGCTTTAGATCGTTTTCCCGTATTCAATAACATTTTATACGGAACACCTATTGTAGATCTAGTATCTCGTGTTTTTTGATGATGCGAGAGACTAGAACGGTAAACAATTAACAACTTAGAAAAGGAAGATGTATACTGCGAAAATCCGAGTTTTTTTTTATACTAGTTCCGACGCGGCAGAAACAGCCCGCAATATCAATGTTGCGATTGGAGAGGGATCTGCTAATGAACGGACTGTGCGATTTTGGTATAAACGCATTCGTTATGGAAACTTCGACTTGAAAAACGAGCCACAAGGAAGACCGCCCACACAGGTGAATAACGATGAATTAAGAGAGATGGTGGAAGCCGATCCTAGTTTAACGTTACCTAACCTACAATATTGACTCATTTGCGTCATATCAATAAAACAAAAAAATACCAAAAATGTTTGCCTCATGATTTGACTGATCTATAGAAAGAAACTCGTGTTGAAACTTGTGTTACCTTGTGTCTCAGCATGGTGTTATTCACTATAGTTTTCTCCAATCTGGTCAAATAATAACGGCAGATGTCTATTGTGCCGAACTCCAAACAATTTTGGCAAAACTAGCAGTAAAACAGCCCCCACCATGACAACGCGACCTCTTACAGCACTAGGAACCGTTTTGACCATTCAGGAACTGTAGTTAGAAACCATTCGTCATCTTCCGTAGTCGCCAGACCTTGCCCCCTCGGACTACTATTTTTCTCGTGATTTAGACAATTATCTACGTGACAAGAAGTTTTGTTCCCAGGAGGCGATACAAAATACTGTCCCACAGTTTGTGCAGTCTAGATCCTCAGAGTTCTATCGCAAAGGCATAAATTCCTATTAGATGGCAGCAATGTACAGATAATAATGGTAACTATTTTAATGAAATAAATTTGTTAAAATTAAAAAATAATCAATTTCAATTTTCAGTACAAACGGCAATTTCAATCCTTAACCTCTATTATTACTTACTTGAATAATTAAACTTATTTTAAGAAATGCCATTATAAAAAAACAAAACTCGTACATTGTTAAAACCCCTCCAATAACCAATACAATAATTGGTAACAATGACACAGAGTCCAGTAGGTTAAAATGTCCCAAATGAGGGACCAACTTTGAATACGTACTTCTATTCACATACGTACGGAGCTTACAAGTAAAATTTGTAAAATAACTCACACGTATTCTCTCAACAGTTTTTAAGTTTTACTATAGTCATTTTTATGGAAGTATGTATTTTCTGTTCGTGTGTTGGTAAATGCAATTCAAACAAAGCTCTATGTATTTATAGATACTTCTTTTGTTCCAGACATCTGAGCTTGAGTCACTGCTTTGCAAGCAGGAGGGCGCCGCATTGGCGCCCGCCCACATGGACCTCTTCGACGGTGGCCCTTCTTCCCGCGACGATGCTTTCCTCCGGCCAGCTCTATGGGAGGACATCGCCTCCTCGATTAGGAATATTGACCCTGAAAACGCTAATATGCTTGCACCGCTCGGCGCCACTCATGTTAAGCTCGAGGCGGATGACCCTCTACTGGAGGAGTGCGCTACACCTCTCCTCAGTCCGCTGGAAATCAAAACGGAAAGGCTATGCGTACCCCCTACGTACGCACATCCACCGCTGCCTCAACATCAGCCTCAACAACCAGCCACTCCCTTCGCCAAGTATCCGCCGTCACGCCTGGGATACATGTCCCCGTTGACGCCCCCTGGCTCCGACCAGGGTAGTCCAGGAAACTCTATGCAGGTACAAAATCATGCAAAATATCATGACTGCCTTTCAGTTTTCTAAGATAACTTATTGTGATAAGCGTAGTAGGAAAACTCTGCAGTCGACAAGAAGAATGAGACTGATTGCATTTACGTTTTATACATGAAGGTACATACATATTAGTCTTTTTAAGATAGACTACGCTATGCGAATGCTTGCGATCGATGGTACCATCTACTGCGATGCGATTTATTTGTTTTTTTTTTATGTAGAAGAAAGTAACCAAATATGGAATAGTATACCTAATTTGCCATGCTGAAATCTATTCGTAATAGGGAAAATTTCAATAAATAGGCCATATCTGCGATCTGTTTGGTGATTTGCTTGATTTATTTCAAAGTTTATTATGAATAGAATTTTAGTTTTACATATTAGGAAGACAATTTCATTCATTTGGTTACTTGTCTTAAATATCATGAAATTACAGAAAAGTTTAGGTTGCTGTTTTTTATTTCATCGAAGAAAACTCTTACATAATAATGGCTACATTAAATTACAATATTATTTAGTTTTACACGTATGACATACTTTGCATCAGTTTTTTGATAGTGAATAATTTTAACCAATTCCAAAATCATTCTAATTTTTGAAATATAAAATTATATGTTATACTTTAAATACTAATAATCAGTTTAAACTTTACCCACCGTTCCCTGTAAACGTTATAATAGCTTGACTAAGTTTTTAATAACAAAAATAAAATCCATTATAATTTTAACTGTAAGGATTTTTCTGAAAATTACATTCATCTCCTAACGAGTATGTACCAAAGGAGCAAAAATTAATATTCAACGCAAAAAGCAATCATTCGTTAGACAATATTACTAGAATTTGGTGATTAGTATATTTAAATGGAAGGTTGTACAGCAAACCAGTGTGGTGGTAAAGCACGTGTGTTGCACGCAGGGTGGGCCGCGACGGACGCCGCCACCACCGTATCATCCACCACCACCGCCGCCGCTGCTCCGAGCACAGCACGCGCCTCCGCATCCACACCATCACACACAGGTACCATTAAGAAGCATATATCAGATTTATTTAAGAAATAGCGTGCACGAGTGACTTTTACTATAGTCTCTAACGATCCATGACCATCTATGCTATCCCAAGAAGGTTATTAATGCTATTCTGTTAATAATGTCGATAGAGCTTCAATTAAATCAAACTATTTTTACATTTTGAAGTAGGTTTTATGTTGTACCTCTATGCTATAACTGCACAGCTCTCGATATCGAGTTTGAAGCTATTTTTGTAACAGAATAGCACTGCGATGATTGTTTGTTATCGTGACTTATCGTTTCTGTCACCGTGGTCTCGTTTGTTTTAATTGTCACAGTCACATCCAAGTGCGGGCGCCAGCGTATGGATTTTTAAGTACGGTGACAAAAGGCAAAACGTATAGCCCAAGAGTTGGTCGTGTCACTGTCGATTGTTCTATGGATATGGTGATAAAAGTCACAAAGTACACTATGTTTAAACCATTAACAGAATATCTATGATATTCATAAAGTGGTTATTAATGCTATTCTGTTAATAATGTCGATAGAGCTTCAATTAAATCAAACTATTTTTACATTTTGAAGTAGGTTTTATGTTGTACCTCTATGCTATAACTGCACAGCTCTCGATATCGAGTTTGAAGCTATTTTTGTAACAGAATAGCACTGCGATGATTGTTTGTTATCGTGACTTATCGTTTCTGTCACCGTGGTCTCGTTTGTTTTAATTGTCACAGTCACATCCAAGTGCGGGCGCCAGCGTATGGATTTTTAAGTACGGTGACAAAAGGCAAAACGTATAGCCCAAGAGTTGGTCGTGTCACTGTCGATTGTTCTATGGATATGGTGATAAAAGTCACAAAGTACACTATGTTTAAACCATTAACAGAATATCTATGATATTCATAAAGTGGACTTAAAGCTAGCCATTTAAAATGTACTTTATAAGTGATTATTTTAAAAATCTCTGTTGGATAGATTAATCTATCCCACATAAGAAGTGAGATATATTCATGTGCATCGTTTTCAGACACTCGCATTTCTTTTTAACGTACAATGCGATAAAACTAACGACGAGGTTCTTTTAATATGTTATTCGATTGCTTTGCTAGACGATGTCACAACCGCTGCAGATGCCTCAACAGCCTCAGCCGCCCCCGCCTCACGGCCCGATGGCACACTCACGGCTCGCGCCCCCACCCCTTGTTAAATATAATCGGAGGAACAATCCCGAACTAGAGAAGAGAAGAGTGCACCATTGTGACTTTATCGGTAAATTTATTGTTATATTATATCAATAAATAGCTTTTTACTTATCATATGCCCTTTAAAAAGTCCACTATCTTAAAATTAAAATTGGTTCAGTAGTTAAGAAATGAAAACGTAACAGACACCCACGCACGATAGAGTTACTTTCGTTTTTCTTAATTTGGATTAGCAATAATATACTGACAGATGGATTGTTTTTATTATTCGTTTTCCAATCAGCATACTATTATTTAACTCATGTCATTAAACGAATGACATATTATTTATTTAAAAGGAAATTTTGTAAATAAACTCGAACAATAAAAAAAAAATTTCACCTACGGGTAGCTTATGATGTACATATGTTGTGAACATAGGCTATATTTTATTCCAAAAAACAGAAAATAAAGGAATGAAAGTGGGAGTGGAAGTTTGTATAGCGAAATAAAACGTCATCATAATTTGTAATTATTGTTTACTATTCATTTGCTATTTTATAATTTCATAATGAGCCAGAACATTTTAAAATCAAAATATCAACTGTTTCCGATATAATTCACAGGTTGTACGAAAGTTTACACGAAGAGTTCACATCTAAAAGCTCATCAGAGAATACATACAGGTAAATGAGTCAACTACTTATTTCTGATCATTTTTGTATTCTTTATAAGTATCATGTTGCTATTGCGAATTATCTCTTATATCATAGATATCTTATAACGAGCAGCTTATATTGCATATGCGATTTTTTTAACATTTAATTATATCCAGTAAGTATGAGACATTGCGATTGATTTCTTTAAACATCAGCATGTGCTATTATCAAAGAATATCACAAAGAGTATAACATTTTTAAGATACTTGTGTTGTTTAATAAGTGTAGCCAGGAATAAACAATAGCCGAGCAATGCTCCGGTGAGAGGTAGCACCACAAGGCCTAGGGCAAATCCAGTAAAGTGCAGAGAGCAATTCTTGCAATACTCACGCGCTATACTAGTTGTTAGCTCTCCGTTGCAAAAACTGGCTTTGAAAAGGAATAGATGGCTCGCATGTACTTACAGTGCGATTATAATCGATAATCGCACATAATAAGTACAAAATTAAGCTTTATGGAATGGTTCTTAAATTATATTGGGTCCATTACGTTTCTTTGATCAAAAATCGTTTCCTTAATTAATAAAAGTTGATTTTTGAATAGGGGAAAAACCTTATACCTGCCAGTGGCCAGAATGCGAATGGCGATTCGCTAGATCGGACGAGTTGACGCGCCATTATCGCAAGCACACTGGCGCCAAACCTTTCAAGTGTGCCGTGTGCGAGCGGTCGTTTGCGCGCTCCGATCACCTCGCGTTGCACATGAAGCGCCACCTACCCAAAACGTCTAAATGACACGCAAGGAGGGGCGGTGACCAACCGCCCGAGTCTCAGTCCACACAGGTATGTATACAGTAAGATATTTTATAACTTACACTTTTATATTAAAGATGCTTTTTGGAGCTTACCTGGCGAGTCGAGTTTCATATGATCTTACCAAAGAGGATCTTGCCCTTCATAAGAACTGTTGTGTTTCACTGATGTATCTGCGCAGAAGTTTAATTTTCGAAGCACAGCAGATGTCGGTCAATTAAAATAACTAAGTGTCGCGCCATCAGGCCATCCACGAATATCCACGGACCTGAGTGTGACTTGATAACAAGGAATTTGCACCTTATGATTACGGCACGAGCACAATACATTTTAATCGTACGTTCGCTCATCGTTGGAATGGGTAGGTTTATCCGCGTCAAAATCAAAATATCTTTATTCAAATACTGATTACCAGACTTTTGAATACCACTTGATCAGCCCCCTTACTCTCGAACGCAATCGCGACCGATCGAAATTGCAATTGTGCCGCTCCACACTCTTGATTGGCTCAATCAAGAGTGTAAAGATGGCGCTAGTGTACCCAATCAAAAGTACTAAAGAGCTGGATATCATTTGGCTGAAAAAAAGATTGCCCGAAAGTAACTCACCAGCTTTAATTGAATTAAGCACATTTACAAAAACCAGATCAATATAAACAGTATCAATTTAGGAGTTACATAGAAACATAAAAAGTATGATTTTGCAATTAGATATTTAGGTTATAAATCTTTCACAGTCTTTCCCGTGAAAGATATATATTCTATATTCCAGTAGAAGTATTTTACCTTTTATAAAACTAATGAAGTGCGAATGTGAAAGCGAAATTCAGATTACGGGAATATATTTTGTCTTTAACTAGGAATGACTTATTTAAAATCCATGTTGATTATTTAATTGCAGGAGGAATGCAGTGAAAGCATATTCCTGGAGTGCGACCTGGACGCGACCCTCATGGATACGTTCTACGGAGTGCTGTAACTGATAACGTGCCTTACTCGTTGAGACCGCGCCGCAGCTCTTACGCGTCGCCGCTACCCTCAAAATATACCTTAGGAATAAAACAGATAAGCTTTATCGTTCTTTGTATCCAAAGTATTAAATACACATTTAAGTTCAGTATTGTTAGGGTCGGTTCGATAGTTTGATGTGAAAACACGAGGATTCGATGTTAATCTGACGGAAGATCCTCAATCAACGTATGCGTTTATACTCTCGACGTACTGACGGATCATCCGTCGAGTGTTCTTGAGTTGAATGTCATAATATATTCCGCGAGGGATCTTCCGTTAGATGTGCACCGAACCTTAGGAAAGTTACGTGTCCAAAAATGAACTCTATTAATTAGTTCGTGTTTTTCAAGTAGTTTGCATGTTATTTTATTACAATTCTTTATAATGCCGATTGCATTACGAAGGACTGATTTGCGTGAGTACCTGTCACGAAATAACAAGTTAACCATATGATAAAATGTTCATAACGTTGTCTATAAAGTCACAACAGATACATTATTCAACAGCATTACCAAGGAAATTGCATTATACCCTAATGTTATCGTAAAAGGCTAGAAACAGTCGTGAATCGTACAACATAGTGGTAAAACGCGTTTTTATAGATATATATATTATGTACATTGAAAATGAAAAATATTATTAACGTTACAGAAAGTTCTTCGACACTGTTGCTTTCAAAAATTCAGTAAATTTGGTTGAAGTCATGGTCGCGATTTTTTTCTATAACAAAATGATGTTGTTGTTATGATTTAATCGAATTAATATTTAGCAAAAGTTTAATAAAAACGGTAGCGTTAATAGAATCTCTTTTGAATATTCCATTTTGATCCTATCACGTATTAGAAACTTTTTTTAGAAACGGAGATGAATCGACACAAGAACCTTCATAATTTTTACTAACATTACTACAATGTTAACGTAAATACAAGAAAAAAGTCGAACCAATTTTCTATTTAAATATTTTATTTAAGCATAAAACGTAAATATAAAAGAAGATATTTATATCGTCAAAGATCGACACTAGCTATAGGCGACTTAAATATTTCGTCTGTTACTTAATTCAATTATTTATCTTCATATACGAAACATTATAAGTTCCGTTGCTAAAAGAGATTAATAATAAACCAACACTGTCATCTCCATTTCTATACAATCTCTATATTTGTTCAATAATATAGACATACCCCACCGAACCTTCGATAAATTATACATAATGTTAATATACACCACAAACAAGAGGGCCCAATGCCCTAAATAATAATCTTTGGATTTACAAATCCATCCTCTATTTTAAATTCATAAAGTCTGCGATCGTCATCAAACCCTTAATTTGACATTCACAAGTCTGAAGATTTAACCTTGACTTCAGAACTTTGTAAACATTATGCAGGTGATTTTAAATATAACTACATGATATAAATAAGCATCCATTTTGAAAGATTTGCTCACTGCGTCAGCAATCAGTGTCACCTGGAACATTCGTTGCGTAAGCTCTAAGTATTCATTAGATATGATTAGTTAATTTATTGTAAGTATAGTTAAGAGAGCAAGGAATATCCAAGATATTATAGTTGTCTTTACAATATTATTATTGAATAATTATTAGGTAAAGTTAGATGTTAGTTTCTTATGTAGAAACAGGCGCGTTATCGAATTTAACGACTTAGCACATTAAACATTTCAGTAATTTTAATAAAAGAAAGAAATAGAGGCTCTACAAACGAGCTTTATTTTTAAAGTAGAGATAATTTTAAGAATAGCTTAGTACATATTAAAAATCCATTAATGAATTACGACAATCTTAGGTAATTCGATAGGTAAGAAAAAATAAAAGATATACTTATATTATACTTATTGTTGCCTTTAAAGAAACATTAAATTATAGCTATTAATTATCATTCGCTATACAACATTATAAAGCAACAAATCTAAGTCGTTATCTTCGAAAATGTTTTAATTACACTTTCTAGTCTCAATTTAATACATTTTTTTCTTATTTCGAAATAATATATCACTAACAAGCTTTGCCTGAAAATAATGTATATCACAAAATCGATTTTAAGTATTTATGGTACCTATACGTACAAAAAATAGAAATATATAATGGATTATCGTATAACTTATGAAATAATTTAGGCAATGTAGATATTTGGAAACATCCTTATTGCCTCCGTCCAATGGAATATGCATAGGCATAGCAACAATGCACCTATGTAGTGCCTTGCTAACGAATCGTATAATGTACTTAATCTCTAATAATATCAATATTTATATAATAATATTAACATTTTAAAGAAAAATTGCCATCATAAAGAGTCATTAGTTTGCGTTTAAAAGTCTGACGTGCTTAATTCTTCCAATAATTCTGAATTGATTTTCACTCTTGACTTCGCTTATTATATACATCTTATAATAAATTTAAAAATATATAATTGGTACTTAAAAGTTTGGGAAATATTGTACATTATTACTTAATGTTGAAATTAGTCAATATGTATACTTAATTATTTATCAAATAAATAATGACAGATAATAATTAAATTTCGTTAGAAATTTAATACAAAACCGAGTCATATACACGTATACAAATAATGAAATTGATTTGGTAGCCTTTGGGAATTTGATAGTCATCTAAACAAATGACGAGTTTTGATAACAAGTGTCTTTATAAAACTGCCGAATCTTAAGTGCCTTATTCCCTAAAAAACAGAAGTGCTTGGTTGTGTACGAGTAAGAATTATGGAAACGGTTAAAACCTGTTTTTGTGGTTAAAGCTAAATGCGCATTTTTATTTTTCAACATGTTACTGACATGTTGAAAAATCGATTGAAGAATCGACCAATAGAAATGAGCCTATAAAATCACTATCTCAACTAGCTCCCACCCTCCTAAAAAACTGAAATAAAATTAACAGTTAAAGGTAGAGAAGGTTTCAAATGAAATGATAATGAAAAAGTATTTTTCTAATTCTCGTCGCCGAAAATATGAGGCAAAACCAACATTGTTTCCATCATAACTTACTTGGTCACTAAAATTGAATTATATTTGTTTTTAGAAGCTACATTTTCACAATTGATAGGTTTTTCTTTAAAAAATAAAACATTGAACAAATTACACTCTCGAATAAGTCGAAAACTTTGAGGAATAAAATTGGTCTTTGTATTGAAACATTTTGTGTCATCGACGCATCTCTAGTATATGGTCTACTTTGAATTAGAGCCTAAGCACTAAATCCATTTTTTATGAAAATTCGCGATGCTTGATGTTTTTGTACAAGAAATTACTTACTTACTTTAAAAAAATATCATTAAGTCAATGTACCTACTATTAGTGCCTTCCATAATTACGTAGGCAAGAATAACAAGGCCATTACATACCACTATTACAATGGCAAGAATAACAAGGGCATTACATACCACGCGGGCATATGTGCGTATTCATGGGTGCAAACAGCTGCAGATGCATCCAGGAATAACAAACGAATTACCCTCAAAAGCCTCTAGACTTTTAGTCTTTATACCTAAGCTAAGGTTAAAAAAATTTTGGCTACCCATCCGATCTTTGCGAAAGTTTCTTTAGTTTTGCAAGCGTAGACAGAACACTCTAACCAAGCCCAAGATACGTAATATAAGATAAAAATAGTAAGAAAATTTTTATCGATTATTTTGTATTTGAAAAATAACCAACGTTAATAGACTTTGTTTATTTCTTACAACTTTAATATTCCACATAATATTAGTTTTCTGTACTCATTGCTTACGTTTTAACAGGTATTTTTTAATGCTTTGGTGGCTCTTTTACATTTATTAATTAGGGCATGCACCCCACATAAATCATAATGTAAATGCGCCTTTGAGCCCCAACCGAAAAAACAAACATGACATTTTATTATTCCTAACCACTCATACTATTCTGTTAAAAAATAGCCTCAAACTTGAACGCAGCGCTGCGACTGCGAAATTAAACATTTATAATTTTTTGAAATAAATTTTATTTGAAATCACCTCGTCAGGGAACAAGGATAGTGCATAACCAAATTTCCCTGGGTAAATGAAAATGAAATAAATTTTATTTTATTGAATTTATGATATGACAGTGACGTCAAGTTCGAGGCTGTTTTTATAATATAATAGCACTGCTGATGTGTTGTAACTAAGAAGTTTTATATATTGGTTGTAACATTAAACTACTTTATATCGTAACCTTAATTATTTAACACTATCCAATAACGCATAATCTTGCCACTCGTTCTTGCATTTAGATTCGTAATTGTAATTATGAGCAGTTTATATTAATTATACTGTCATAAAATGAATTGTGTGTACTGTGAACAATTGTGAATTGAAACCAAAAGGTTATATGAGCGTTAGAATTATTCGAAAAATAATAATTTACCTTAATACTATGTAATATGGATAAATAAAACATGACATGGAACTCGAAGTCTAGTCTCAACTATTTCTTATACTAGTTACAAAGCTATGATTACTAAAAGAAAATATATATGTAGGTACGTAATAAAACTAATCAGTCTTATACTTAATGTTAACTCTCGTTATTATATTAAATAATATGCAATTACTTACTGAAATGGAATGCTTATGTGTATTTGCCGATTGCATTGCATTGATGTCAAATAAGACAAAATTGATGCAGATTTAGTTATAAGTTAATTTTTCTGTTTTTTAGATTAGAGAAATGGAAAATTTGCCATAGACGTGTCTATAGATGCCATATATTGTAGTTAAATGAGTTAATTGAATATTTTTATTTTTAATTTTATTATATAGAGACATTAAGTCTTTGGTATTATCAAAATGAGAAGAGTTACTAGGGCACTCAAATTATTGTTTATGAAACAGAAAAAGACGGTTTTATAAGACAGACACAACATTGTCTTGTTTATTTAGATCGCATCAAGTCAGAATGTTTTTTTTTAGTTAACTAGTTTATAGAAGTGATGTCGAGGTACATATATGTATGAGCATGATAACGCTAGCAACTTGTATCATCTCATAAGGAAGTAGTATCTTAAAAATATCCATTGATGCAAAACAGTGGTGATAATGGAAAATGGAGATCTTTAAATTCTGAGCTGTTGATAAAATTAATTTTCTCTAAACAAACAAATTAAATGCAACAATTTACGTACTCAAGTAACTTTTCTCACTTTGATTTTGTGTTTCATATAGAACCAAGTAAAGTACCTCACCTTCTCATGTTCTTGCTTATTCCTTGTAATTTTTTTGAATTATTAATTTTATAAATGTGTTTTTTATTTCATATTATGTTAAGCATAAGACCTAGTTAAGTATGTTAACTAAGTCACAAGATAATTTATTACCAATGACATGTTTTTAAATTCTTTTATAGTACTTACTTTATATTACTTATTTTTTGTATAGTTAAATGTAAAAAGTTGAAATATATATTTTGATGAATTAGCTTTGAAAATTGTGTTTTTTATAACTGTAGAAGTTGTCAGATGTGTGATTTACTAACATTGTTTTAAGTTATTTGCCTCAAATGATGTATAGAATTATGCCATTTACTTCGTGCCTTGCTGTATATGAAAAATATAAAAAAAAATACAATCAATTAAGGAAACTTTTATTTTTATAAAGTTTTTGACAAGTTCTACCACTAGGATTAGTGTTATAGAATTTTACACGATTGTGACATCTCTATTTAAAAGTTTGTAAATGCTGTTGATCAATTTTTTAATTGTTTAGGCACATGTCCGCAACATTGCCAATGCCCAAGTTTAAAAAAAAAACTGCTTAAAATAATATTCAAGCTAACGAAAGTGTAAAAATATCGGTAATTTTATAATTATTATCATATATAATTAAACTTAAAATAATTTAGCAAATCTTTAATAATCTATACTAAATTCGGTGACATAAAATCTCTACAATGAAAAAATTGAATATTAATAAAGTTATTGGTGCAGAGATTTTGTATTATCTTTGAACATTATTGGCAAGTTTTTCAGTTTCGAAAATTCCGGATAGGTTACGTTTATTGTCAGATTAGAGATATTTTATAGATTTTCAAATTCAAAAATACTGCCGTTCTTATGGAGAGTTAAATAATTGGTTACTTTTAAGCTAATCACAATTAAAGATTTTGTTTTTGTTTCGTATGTACCTTAGACGATCAAAAGAATATATCAAACTACTCGTCAAGTAATGTATCTAAGAAGAAAATATAGAACTCCTTCTTCTGATTACAAATTAAGTCAGTTTGCCTAAAATTTTGCCGACTTTTTGCACTTATTGTAAGTACGGCAGAATATCAACCTGAGTATCTCAGAGTCTGTTATTAGAAATATATCTATTATTGTCACATGGCATACCTGCCCAGCGAAATGTCCTAAAAATGGTGTCTAATGTCGAGCGATGTAGAGCGAGGTCAATATTATGTAAAATTGTAAACAAAATGTGGTTATTTGAGATTCTTTAACTATTTATACTATTGTAATAATTTGACTTACTTTACTCTGTCATACAATAGTAACCATGGAATTTCAAAACAATCTTGTACCGTGATCAAAACATTGACATAGAGTTCGTTGATAATATTAAATACATAAATTAATTTAATTTTATACCCTTAGTTTATTCAAAGATATTTTTATTTATAATAAAAATAGAATCGCAAAAGTCTTAAAAAATCTTTTAAATTTTGGATTGACCTTTAAAATGGTATGAGATTGTTTGACATACATTATACATTATTTGAATTGCGAACACCATGTAAATTAACGTATGTACTTATTGTTACACAAATAACTATGTCACTATCTACTATTTTCACATTTCAGAACAAATTAAATATAGTCACATTTATTAAGCGTGTGTTTATTTTGACTAACGTTGCTACCTACCGATACATTTTCAAATAATTGTAACTGACGATGGACAGACGATGGAACTTGTACCTTTACCTAAATAGCTGAAAATATAAGCTTTTGAGTGTTTCTTTTTTATTAACTTTAAACTTTCCCTGAAAATATCAAGTTGTAGATCTTAAAAACAGAATTTGAAAAAAATTGATAACTTGTGTAATATAATTGCTTTAACCTCGAGTTAATTAATTTAAACTTAAACAACCAATTACCAAAATATATAATATTTTAACAAGGAATTTTTCGGTGTTTTTACAGCCTTAATTTTTTAGTAACTTATACATCTTTTTCTTCAACTATACTTAATAACCTACAGAAAACCTGCGCCTCCAATGACAGTTCTTAAATAAGTTGTTTCTATGATAAGTATTATTTCTCACTTTTTAAAACTTTGACGTCGTTTTTGGAACAAGAAATTATAGCAAAAGTCGCACTTTTCTTTATGTTAATTAATTTTCCTTATAAAATATTCTCATTAATAAAGTAAGTAATATAACGCAATACAATGAAGCTAATCCAAACCAGTTGGAATGACCTTAACTACCTTTCAGATAGTAAAATAAGTTAGCATCTCTGTACATGGCGCTAAATGAAGAACGGTTACAACCCTTCTAACAGTTTTCACAAACATACGCACTACCGTTATTACCCACTTTATAAATGGATGGTGTGATACACAGGCACTAGCATTACATAGAACTCGTGAAAGTAAAACGATGACAACGTTTTAAGTTTTCCATAATAACAATAGTTCATCCGTGAAATATTTTTAAATAGCGCAACCAACATTCGACAGCAGTTCGAAATGTTTCGCAAGTTAATAGGCGTATACATTATTCTAGGGTTAGTTTCGGTGTCAGTTTTTACGCTTACAATTAACAATGAATTAGATGAATTGGATGAAGATATGGAAGAATACAGCGAAAGGAAGGGCAAAATATGTAAGTTATACGCTGATGCTTTTATCAGAATAACGCATGATTTTATATATATATATTATATTTTTTTATATATAATTTAATCTCTACAATGACCGTTTACTTAATTAAATAGTATATAGGTATATTATCAAAAATACAAAGTGCCTGCGATTTTTATATATGATGTCGGCATAATTAAGTTCAATATGCACTATGGCACAAAGATCTCTTACAATATCTATCCATTTTCAAGAACTACTATATATCACTATTAAAAGTCACATAATAACTATAATTAAAGATTATTTTTTGAAAATTTTTACTAGGGCAAGTATTTGTTGTTAGATAAAATTGGAATTAAACCATTTCTCTCATAATAGCACCAAATATTGCCTGTAAGATGGTCAGTCTTACTACAATTATAACTCATCCATTATATATATAAGGTTATGGCACTGCTATTTAGGTTTACTACCTTAGAAAAGAAGCAAGCTCTCTACGTAAAGATAGTAGCACTAGCTTGCCAACTTACTAGAACTAGTTTGCTATCCCGGCTTGAGATACTAGTCTCGTTTATCTCGAGCATAATGCCCGGGATGTCTTTCTCCGAGATGCTTTTATATTCGTGTATACCGACCTAGCTTATTATCTAATAACAAGGCGAAGGCCCTAGTTTGTTAGCTGACTTAGTAACTCTTACCTCGTGAATTCCGGGCATCAGTTCGAACTGCTATGCTTTCTGAAATAAAAACAGCCTCGAATTCGACGACATCGAAACCTTTTGTAATAGGTTTTATTTGATGGAAACTCTATGGCAGCGCTGTGCTCGACGTGGAGTTTATAGCTTTTTTAATAACAGAATAGCGGAATAGACGATAAAATCCGTATAGTTCATGATATCATAGAATATCGGCGGGTTTCTGAATTGAGAAAAGTACAAAACCTCAACTCAATTCTCAATAACCTAAGTTTTTTACGTTTGACATGGCAAAAAGCTAGTTTTATCATCCTGCTATCGACTGATCATTGAAAAAACATTTAAATCAGAAACCACAACCCGTTTAAGTGTAAATACGGTTTGAGACGTGCTCGACTTTACATTCTCAATTCAGAAACCGGATGGATGTGATTTATCGGTTAAAACTTATCATAATCACTTTGTATCAAATGCAGTGTTTCCGTTCGTGAGTATCGTTCGGTTCGCGAACACAGACTGCGCGAACACGAACGTAATGAACGGAACATGCCTGGCCCGCCGCGAGTGTAACAATCTGGGTGGAACCATCACTGGCACGTGTGCCAACAGGAGAGGCAGGTGCTGCGTAGGTATATAATAACACTAGATGTTTGCCCGCTATCTTTCCCGCGTTAATTATAGCCTATGTAATCCGCATATATTGTAGAATCCCGTAGTTGAAAAAAATTTCATGATCGGATCAGTATTTCTGAAGATGACCTAGTATAAACAAACAAATAACAAACTTTACCTGTTCGTAATGTATAGACAAACTTTGTAGACTTTGTATATAAAATATATCAAAACATTACCGAATATCCTTTTTAAATAGCATTAAAATATCTATTGTTAGGTATTGATTCCAAAACTGTAATACCCAAAGTAAGGTTTATGTAAGTTTCCATTACGTGTAAATGTTGTCAGTTTCTAGAGGCTGCGGTACCACAACAAACGTCAACAATACTTACTTCTCGAGCCCTGGTTACCCTGCGGCGTTCGGCGGCGGTGCCGCGTGCTCAATTATTGTTAATCGGTGTAACAACAACGTTTGCCAGGTCAGACATTTTTGGTTCAGAAAAGATGCTTTACACATAGGCCTGGAGAGCGTTAGCGTTGCTAGACGTGGGCGAAGTAAACCCGCCCACGGTTTCACATTAAATGTGACCACGTGAGGTCTTGCGTTGCGGTTTGACAATAACTTCACATAATCACTCCTGTCAGATTTACAAAGTACGACAAATAGAAAGATGAAAAAATAACATAAGTTTTCATCACAAAGAAAACGCTACAGTTAGTAATCATACATATACCAGTATTTTTCTTTAATTTAACATCCAAAAATATTTATAAACTTATGTACTCATTAAATTAAGATTCACCAACTTAAGTTTTAGTCTTGCATCCATTCGTATAATTTTTAATACAAATTAGATAATCTTAATCGGTGAAAATACCTATACCTTCTTTTCAGAGGTAGAACTGCAATACTTAAATAAGCCCTTCTTATTTCTGAATACTGCTTCTCGCACATGTCAGTATATAATATATAGTAAGAATTTATTATATTTATAGCTCCGGATAGATTTTTTGGACATGGTGTTGGCACAACCAAACGGCGATGGTAATTGCGTAACTGACGCCATCACAATAACGGGGGGCAACACTGTTGTTCCCGTGATCTGTGGAGATAACACCGGTCAAACTATATATGTGGATTTCAACGGGAATGCTGCTATCACGATCAGTATCGCTGCGACTCCCGCTACTGCCTTTAGAAGGAGATGGAACATAAGGCTTGTGCAACTGGGCTGTGACTGTCCTGGTATAGGTAAATTGAGCTATTGATTTTTCTCTGTATTCTATTTAACGAGAGAATTGGCAAACGCATTATAGCAATGGTCGCCTATAATCTTTTAACTACACAACGGATATTAATTCGGTTTTCATCAATATACAAAGAGATTCGTGATATTTTTTATGTAAATACAGAACCACGCGGAATATTATACGTTCCAGTTTTCATATGATATGTAATTTAGAAAAAACACGAACGACTTTAAACGTATTTCATTCCTAACCTAAGCTAACATAACAACGCTAATTACTGAATTTATATGTTGTAATCAGCACCAAATGGATGTCTGCAGTACTACAGAGGTGCAACCGGAACAATAAACAGTTTCAACTACGGCGGTACAGCGAACACAGGCTTGAGTGCGTCGCTGGTGACTGGTACACGGCAACTAGCCAATTTAAACTACGGCATCTGCATTCGGATGGAAGCCGGCTTTTGTGCTATCCAGTACGCCCAGGTTAGTAGTACGTTCAGAAGGAATACAGGTAAGTTCAGAAGGAAAACAAGAACTTACAACGCAAGCATGCTACTCATAAATACCCCACTATATGCAATAACGATTGGCTACTTTACTGATTTTCATATGATTATATCAAACACTAACAGGCTTATTTTTCTCCAAAGCGTTTTTAAATTAAGTAACATATTTATTCATTAATTTTAATTATCCCGCAGAAACATTAAGTAACCCGACATTTCGAGATGTGACGTCACATTGCAATAAACATGTTGTGTTGGTTGCACTAGCACCAAAGACGTTGACGTTGAGTTTATAGTTGACAATGACGGAGCATCGTGTGACGTCACGTGTCAATACACGTGACGTCACACGATGCTCCGTCATTGTCACTCTCGTTAAGATTCTTGTGATCCTACATATTAGATATATAATAACCTTAGATTAGTATTTTAGACTATAGGTACTTCCAACACATTGCATCATTTATTGTTAAAACTTACCTATTGTCAAGTAGCCAATAGGGATGATGACTGGGTAAAAAAATGCAATTCTATTTAGTCCGTCAGTCAGATAATAGAAAAATAATAGATATTTTTTTTTACTTCAATTTAACAAGAAATAGCTTAGATAACAGGCATTAAATTTGAGGAGTGGAGGCTCGCTACATCACAGTTGAGTAGAAAACGTACCCTAACGTGACGTCATGCGAAATTTCAACTCCATACGAAAAAAATAAAAAAATACGTGTTTATAAATTTTTTAACACTCTACCTGATGGACAAACAAACAAAAAATAGTCATCATCCCTATTCAATGAGTTTTTAAACTTCAATTTTGCCCTTTAGAATGGAGGTCTATTCACTTTCACGGTAAGCGGCGACGTGGAGGGAGCAGATAACACAGTTTTGGGAACAGCGGTTGGCGCGGCCAACGACGGAGCTTGTACTACAGATTTTGTGGTCATCCCTAACCCGACAGTCGTTGCAACGGGCGTTGCCGTCGGCACAGATCGGTTCTGTGGCCTCGGCTTCGTCCCCGTGAGCTGTAAGTTTAAAAAAAAACTCTTTCTACTGTAAATTTCATATCCTTCGTCCAGTAACTCACAATTAATTTTTTCGAGAAAAAAGTTTATACGAGTCCTGAACATGAGTATATAAAAACAATATTTTTTTGAAAACTATTATTAAAATAATGAAACTTGCTATGCACACTCCTATTACCGAGCAAGTTGCAACAATATCCTCACTCGATATCCTACTATGATAGGCACATCCAAAGCTGTTAGTTTCATCTGCAGTTATTCGAACCACCAGTCAAAATTTGGGCTCGCGTATTGAATTATATCTCTGATGAAGGCCCGTACTCCGGTAGAGAACGTATTAAAAAGACTCATTCACTCGTGTACTCTTTCGTTTCAGCTGCAGCGAAACCCTTCGTTTTGTATGTGGTAACAAATGGAGATGAAGGTGCTACGATTAATTCACCGCCAGACGTAGCAAACAGAGGATTCTCTTTAGCATATACACAGATAGCTTGTTAATTTTACAGTCAACAGCACGTCAGATTACACAAAATTGTCAAATTTCTACAAACCGCGCTTAAAATTTCATTATTTTTAATTATAATTTAATTAATAATTAATTCTCTTTTATGCACATCTAATTAAATGTTTTTGTTATATTTGATCAATTTTGCATCCACAATGCTATACTGAAAAATATTCTTTATGAAAAATACTTTAAAAAATTCACTTGGAAATGTTTTTGGTTTATTCTAGAGAAACAACTGAAGGGTTTGGAAAATTAAAATAATCTAAATTTACAGTTTTATTTATTGATATGTTAATAATAAAAAAAATCGCTAAAAATAATGTAGCTAAATAGTGGAGTTAATAATAAAAAAACATCAAATTGAAACAATAAGCTGCCCCTTGACGTCGAAAAATGTACCTACTCCACATTTTTTTCTTGATTGCTGTTTAGTAAATTATAATAATTTGAAAAGACGACTTTAACCAATATTATAATTGTTAATAATAATTACTGTTATCTTTTCGAAAAATGTGAATAAATATTTTAATTTTAATTGTTAGTTTCATTCTTAAATATACCGAATATTGAAAATATTGCCTCTTGCATTCAATTCGAACCAACATATTTACAGGAATAGACCGCCAAGCCAAGTTTAAAATTCAATTTTATATAATACACTTTTCCTTCAAATTTAGAATGGGGGTCTATATCTATCATTGGCTTCTAAAACCCATAAATAGGAATAGGCCTCATTCACACGCCATTTCTTTCAAACCTGGGCTTTGTGCATTCAATTTTTCTCAAAGTCCTATCTTCACTCCAATACTCTACGATACTATTTTCCATCTATTTTTGTACCGCTCAACGCAATTATAACGTTTTTGTGAATATTTTTTAATATTAATTTATCTTTTCGTTGGGAAAATGGCAAAAACGCTACAAATTCGCACACTATAAATTTCAGCGTTTAGCATAAAGGCCACCAACTCGACATTGCCAGAATTGTGTAAACGCAAATATAACCTTATTAATTATCTAATTAATCAATATTATCTTTTATAATTTTAGTTTTACGGCGCTTGGTGTTTTTTACGATATAACTTCTCATAAAATATTTATTTTAAAAAATGTGCATATACCCTATTTTCTACACCTGAGGATTTAAGTGATCCTTGAGCGTAAGCCCCTCCATTTCCGTCTACTCTACTTTGGAATTTATATTGGACCTATAAAAAACCAACAATAAGTAAAAACAAATACATTTATTAACAAATAAACATAAACATCACATTTGTATTTAATAAGTACCTACACTATTCTTATGACCTCTATATAATTTTAATGGTTTACAAAGAAAATTTGTTAGATTTTTTAAATTTAAATCTTAATATTTAGCAAAAGGACGTATTACTGCAAATTTCTGTCGCCAGATAGCAACGTTAGCATACGTAGAAGTTAGGTCATTATAATAGGCCACATATGACATCTCTCAGTGTCATCATAAAAGTAAATTAAAATTTCTTTGTTATTAAAATATATTTAACCAGCGACTTCGTCCGCGTTTTCCATTATTTCTTCGCTCCTAATAGTTGCAGCATGATGTTATATAGCCTAAATCCTTCCTCGGTAAATGGTCTATTCAATACAAAAATATTTTTTCAATTCGAACCAGTAGTTCCTGAGATTAGCGCGTTCAAACAAACTGTACAACTTTAAATTTTAGTATAGATGTCATAATACTCCATTTCTCATTGTAACTATTTTTATTGGGGAAATTGATAAACACGTAAATCACTTTGTGAACAATGAAATACAGCAGTTATGACGTTTGCGAATACTACATCAAACAGTTTTTGACGCGCAATAAATGCAAAACACCTTTGTATCTCATAGCAAATTTGCCGTGTGCTATGAGATACAAAGGTGTTTTGCATTTATTCCCACCTTTAAGTTTTTGTATTGCGCTTAGTAATAACTAATTTGTGCGTTATTCATTTATTATCTGTAATTTTCTTCTGTTGTTCTTGTTACAATGTCGACATAATACATAATCAATCTTACTGAGTAATATATCGATAATAATCATAAAATTGGTATTATTTTTGCATAATAACTTCATGCGATTCACTTTTATTTGAAAATCATATCGATCCGTTAAATTAATCGAAAATTTTAAAAAGGAGACCTCAATATCAATCTCTGTTTGATAGATGTCATATGCGCTTTCTTATAATGACCCAACTGTATAAAGGTATAAGCGTCGCATTAATTTCATTTTACATCTAGAAATTAATTAATTTAATTTTATAACTTGACATTGACAGAATAGGCTAGTTGATATTTAGATTATAAATAAATAGTCCATTAATATCTGAGAATTAATGCAAAATTGACAGCACAATTGCGGTTAATAGTTTCGAAGAAATAGTGCTTTCACACAGTGCAACAGTTGCACTGGAAAGTTAAAAGAAAAAGCAATCTTTGTAATATCTTTGTTATTTGTACGTTTATGTTCATACCTATTACAATGAATATTGTTACGTGTTATGTAACAAATTTAATGAAATATGTATTTTTTTTTTTTTAATAAATATAATTTTAGTGTAATTTTATCCATTATTACATCATTGCTTATACGGCTGCAAGAACCAAGGGAACCATACGTTTCTAAAAGACAAAATGTCCGAAAAAGATTGTTTCTTTACTACGTACACTAATACTGCCATCTACGCCGACTTTGCGAAAATTCCTAATTAGTACAGTTAAAATTTTAATAGAGTTACTTTTAATGATACAATATGTTATATTTTTGCATAAAATTAATAAAGCAAAGTCTACAACAACAACAATATAATCCAACGGAGTAAAATGCTGAATCCTATGGAAATCCAATAGGACTATGCCGATTCACAAAAAGAGTTACAATCGCGAAGTTGATTACATAATTAAAAAAAAAATAGTGACTATTTAAAGAACCCAATTCTCTGATCCAATTAATTTATGAAATAAAAATATATATATTAAAACCGAATGCACGTTCGCAACTTAAGCCATAATGTATTTGGTAAATAATACTATAAACAGTATACAGGATATTTTGCACAATGTTATCTTATAGTTTTATTACTGATTTAGAAATTTCACAATTATTATTCATTTTAATATGAAGTAAAGAAATAAACTCTAGGTTAAAATCGGTCATTGACCTCCAGGTACAGCAGTGATTCTAAGTAACAATAGTTTTATAGAAACCTTTTTTATTTACGTACGAGTTAGTAGATTTAAAAATAAAAGAAGAAGAATTGTTTAATGATTTGCAGGCGATATTACAATCTATGGACTGATTGATCCTGTATAAAGTAAATGATCAAGTTCGATTAAACCTCGTAAATCTATTTGACGAGGTTTAATCTATTTTCGCTTGCGCAATGCATGATAGTTATAGTCCTACCCGATATTTCCAACAGACGCAACACATAGAAACAAAAACATATTTTAATTGATACTATCAAGCAAAGGACATCATGATTTGAATTTTAAAACGATGTTTTTTTTTTCGGAAAGTACAGTAACATTATTGAAGGCACTAACAATTACTAAGGTATTCAAGCAGTTACAGAACAATACATTACTAACAATATTTACATTAAAATGCAAAACTGAGTCTTTCTTTGCTAAAAAAAAAAACAATGACTTTACGCATTGATAGCTATTACTTTACCGGTTCTCATTTCAATAGCGTTCTTAACATCATTATACCATTTACCAATATCTGTATTGGCTTTCAGGTCTTTGAATGCTTGACAACCTTCGATGCTACTTAATACTCCGTAGACCGACACGTCGGCTAAATTTGGCTCGTCCCCACCTAAGAAACGGCCACGTTTCTTCACGGCAGCTGTCCATTCATTAGCTGCATTGTAGAGGGATTGTCGGGCGTCTGTGATGTTGTGTCTGAAATAAAACTCATATTATGATATTCTTCTTATGCAAAACTGCAATAAATGTTTTATGAACTTTCTAACACTCACACTATGGCAACTTATTTGTTTCGAAATTATAATTGTTACGTGAACTACTCTAAAGGATAATTATGATGTATATTTGTATTCAACAATTGTACCTAACTCCATAAGAAACCAATATTATCCTTCCAAGCATTCTTTATTCTAATGAAGTATAAATTGCAGTGTTCATAAAAAAAAACTGTTTCATGTTCCTGTCGAGCACTTTAAAAAAATATAAATCGTGTATCATTATGAACTTCTAAAATTATGGAGAACTTGTTGGTAACACTCAGATTGAGTTTATTGTATGTCAATTGAAAATATATAATACCTCTTTTTGAGTCGTTTAGCGATGATCCACATTGCCGCCGCTCCACCATAAACCATAAGGGCGCATTCCCAGCTGGGGAACGACTGCCGCCAGCCCCCAGCCTCCTCAAACCATTTGAAAGTCTCCAAGGCCTCGCTAGTAGTGCGGTATACGTTAGGAGATAGTGTATGTACTAGAACTTTGTCTGCCCACTGGCGCCACTCACGCTCTTCCCTAAAAACATTAATTAAGCGTACCATATACTGGTTATTTAACAAATGTTATGTTGTTAAAATTATGATGATTCTTTCAAATTATTCAATAGTTATTTTGCTATTCTGGATGGTGAACTATTCATCGTCCTAGAAATCAGGAAAATCATATCAGTAAAAGAAAAATACTATTATTTTTCATATGTAAATCTTTAGGTTTATGCTCACTACATGTTTTTTACACATAGTGTAGTATAAAAGACTTGTTGGAAAATTAAAATGACAGTGTATAAATCACATCTATAATAAGCATTTCATTTTCTTTCTCTATATGGGCCTTTCTCTACTAACTGGAAACTTGTCTATTGACAATTGTCCTAACCCTGTTTTTGTAGAAAATTAAAAATATATTATGTAAAGTCGATAGATAGTTATAATATAAATACATATAAACAAAAAACCATTGTAATTTTCTCTTATTTTTCGAACTATAGGCAATTTTATAAAAAAGTGCGGCAGAGGACTGTTTTGCCACCCAGAGGACTGTTTTTTCCACCCAGAGAACAGTTTATGTCAATGTTTATATTAAGAAAAACACAATATTAATTATTAAATGTAATCAAATAAATCCTCTTCTTTATTGAATACTGTATCACATACAGAATTTAAATACTTATACATATTCTTCACGAACAAATTGCGAGTTTAGCTCTCTAAGTAACGAATTAAAATAATTATAATCAAAATTAAGCTTAGGTACTAAGAATCAGCCTTGTTTACTTATCAACGCAGACTTATTTGTCAAAAACAGGTACAGGTATATTAAAATAATAAAATATTAGTTTCCCTTTCAGGGCAATATCTGGGTTTGGCAACTTCTTTAATACTTGGTCAAAGGACACATCAGAAACATCATTTTCATCGACTCTGAATGTGTGTCCTTTGTCATCACAAATTTTAGGAAAGTTACTGTTAGTTCACCTTCTTCCGTGTCTATTTTGTTGATTACTGCAGCATAACAATATTCAGTGTTTCTTACTAGAAATTTAACCAAGACGTAATCACCGATGGTGTAATTCTGTTGGTTGATTGAACTAGGTCCAGCCAGTGCAGCATCGTCGTCGGTCTCCATTGTGGAATCCTGTGAGTTGTCCATTCAGAGTCTGTGTAAATATCATCTACGTTAAGTTTTGTCTTGTTTTTGTACTGTAATACTCCTAAATTGAAATGCTGGCACTCGCCTTCACAAGTGCAACTTAAACTTTTCATTATGAGTTTAGTGGCACTTGGAGCTGATATCAGAGGACTTCTTATTATTTCAGCCTTTACTTGATGAATTTTTAAAGTGCCATTAAAGCTTTTTAAATCAACTGTATCATTTTGAAGGTCTTCTGTCAATTCTTGGATGGCTTTATCGTCGATTGTGATCAAGGTAATTGCGGAACATCTTCGTTGAATGGCCTCTACAAATGATTCCAAGCTATAAATATCACCACCTGTCGCGACGACGGCATCAGCGGTTCTCTTGCAGGTCGCTCCAATGCTATCAGGGGCCCCTTTGCCATGACCACTCTCTGAATAGTTCCACGTAAACTTCTTCACATTTAAAACTTCTTGTTGAAGCCTTGATGCCAGGATGTAAAACATCGTTCTGTTTCTGTATTGAGTTACGGGTCCATCGCTGATGAAATGGATGCTCTTTATGTTATGTGGGAGAGTTTTAATGATTGGCCGCAAATGTGCCCATACAGCAGCTGGTGAATGTGTAAGATTTTTGGAAACAGTACAATAAGACTTAATAGAGTTTTTGGTATACACTACCACAGTATGAAGACTTAGCTGAAGTCTTGACCCTCCAAAATGAAATGCTTGTATTTCTTGACCGTATTTTGAACAATAATTTTCTGAAAAATCAATATGTATAATAGCGTCTTCGCCGGTTTTGGTTTTGTTTGTATTTCTTGATAGCATTGTATTGATGGGTAATGTTTCTTTCGTGTTGATAATAGGCTTCCAAATCCTCGTGCAGCTCTTCTATTAGTTCTCGAGGGCGAACCGTGAACGTTTTCTTTAGGTATTTGGTAACTGTTCGAGCATTCTTGGTCTTGGGGTTGTAAGTTTGTTTCTCGGATATCCATTTTTAAATTCAATAGGCTTGCTGTCAACAAACTCCCTGTCGTCAGGATTCTTGTCAATACAGCGTTGGCAGGTTCGCGACAAACATAGCTCGTCATAGCGATTACAACATCTCTTTTCAAGCAGTGCATTGTGACTTTTGTATTCTTCGCCTGTGCAATGCTGACAGTTATAGATCGATGTTTGCGTGCTTTATACAGAGGCACGAGTCACGTTTGTTTATTGTAAGAAAGAAGGAGGCTATCGACAAGCAGTAGGTTAGTGCAGACTATAAAGAATATTAATAAAATACACGGACGTCAAATAAAACAGTCCTCTGTCACATTGAGCAGTCCTCTGTGTTATAAATTTCCAGAGGACTGTTGCACAGAGGACTGTAATTTTACCTGAAAAATGTCATACCACGTATCAGTTAAAATATTACTTCATAACACAGAAACAGCTATAAATTATCAAACTAAGCAATTTTTTTGTTAAATAAATATAATTTTAACACATAAAACACCGTAAAATAGACTTACCAGAGGAATGTTCACTCAACACTACAGAGACGTGGCTCCCATACAGACGTGGAGTTTTCACTGCGCAAAATGTCGGCGACTTTTTTAGCATGGCGACCGAACAAACTTCACACTGTTAACGTCCGATTTCAAGGGAAATGTAAGCACAATAGTGTTTAATATTTTTGTGGCGTGATATTCAAATTGTGACAGAGGACTGTTCAAAAATGTATTGGACAAAATTCGAACACTAGTTTTTGGTATTAAAAAATTATCTAAAATTATAATTGTTTTTTGTTTACATGCATTCAGTATTCTTCATGTTTATAGAGTTATAAGATTTTGCATTTTTAAATACAACTAATAAAAACCGAACTGAATCATACTCGATCGGGAATTAGGACATAACAGAGGACTGTTTTTAGTGGCTTTTAGACCGAATTTATGAAATTATTATGATTCTAAATATTGATTAAGCTTGGCTCCTTAAATAACCGGTCATATATTATGTGTTTTAATAAATAAAACTGTGCATTAATATAGCCAAAGTCAAAAAAAATGCTTGGACTATGATTTTCCTGTTAGACATCTGTGATCAACCCAAAAACTTTTAATAAATTTGCCATGTGTCATTGTGTAATTAGCATTTGAATAATAAATACTTACTGCTCGGCAGCTCTTTCTCGCTCATCGGGTACAGCACCATTGTGCATAATAAAGTATTTGTTAGCAATATCAGTTATTTTATTGCCATCATCATTTGTATATTTCGTTGCAGGATAGAATTTAACAATGTCCCGCAACTGACATGACTTGTCTCTTAAAAACGTTTCTAACACAGATATTATGGCAGTGCTGTCTAACAATTGCTAAAATATAATTCGGAAATTTAGTTTATGAATATACATCCAAATATTTCAATGCAGCAATAATTTGCTATCATAAAATCACGTTGTACAACTTCTACAATACTTTACTAAAAAGTTTTACTAAAAAGATATGATCTAATACTGACCTGATAACCTTCATCAACTTTTGTTAGCACTATAGGTACTTTCTTGTAGCCCGACCATTTGATTGCTTGACGTAGAACCGCATCCACCTCAACTATCTCGTAGCTAATACCACGTGAGTCTAGGTAGGCACGCACTTTGCAGCAAAAAGGACATGTGCGATATTGAAACAGGATTAATTGCAAGTTGCTTGTATCTGAATCATTGATTATCTGTGAAAAGTACAAATGAAACAAACTTTTCCTTCAGTGCGCAATATAAGTTCATATTTTCACACTATGACACAAATTAATTTGACTTCATCACTTACAACAATAGGCAGTATTAATTGGAAGTGATAAAGGAGTTCTCGAAAATTTGACTTCCTGTTAGATACATCCAACACTATTGTTCTTTAAAAAATAAAACTGGTCAACATCATTTTTGCATTCATTTAATTATAATTTTTTTGATATCTCTAATGTATAAAATGCTTATAAAATCCACTTTGTCCTTGGTACTCTGAGATGGGACTGGTACCCATGACCTTTCGCAATCCGGACGAGTGCTACAACCACTGAACTACCCAGGACCTAACAGAATTGACGAATTTATCAAGCACTTTTGACTTTTTCACTACGACAGAGCATATTTTCATCAATTTTCAGGCAATCCACCCAAACAGCCAAAAGAATCTTTATTGAAAATTTAAATATTTGTAAAAATGTTTTTTTCATCTATTACATCAAAATTTCTAAATAAATAATCATCTATAAATTTAAGAATTTTGGACACTATGCTGAAAATAAGTATTACGATTGGCTATACTAACAAAACAAAATATGATAGATATTATTAAGACTACAAAACACCCTTATATCTGTGCATATTTTTAGTTCATTATCATTGGGGTATTGTCACTCAATACTACTATAACAGTTGACAGCATTTGATTTCTAGTACTTTTTCAATGGGTTATTTCAAATTGTGACTTTTGCTCATTATCATGAAATTGTTTTTGATAACCCTCCTGATGAGGATTTAATAACTAAACCGCTTTGAAGACAAATACTGTCCACCATTGCTGATTGTAATGTAAATGACATCCATCTTCAACACAGACACCTAATCACTCACAAGATTTTGTTGTAAATAAAACCAAACCACATTTCTGTATCTTAAAATTAAACAATGGGGAAAGCATGTCTTTCTTTTGTTGAAAACACAAAAAAAAATCAGATTTATAAAGAGACAGTTACCAAGTTACTCTAAGTCTATAAATCTTAGGATGTAATTAAAGTCTTTAAAGATTCATTTGCATCTAGACCTTTTCCAAAAATTTTGGGTGTGGTAAGCAACAAGCATAGAGAAAAATTTTGTTAGCACATCACAGCAATGGAAGAGGATCCCAAGGCTGCCAAGAATAGTTGTAGATTTTTGGTAAGAGATAAGAAAAGAGAAAAAAGAACATCCACAGGGTATTTTCAAAAACAATTACTTATTAAATAAAATGAAAATTAGTGTTTCATTTTAAGTAACGTCATACCAAGGAATCAAAAAATACCACTTACATAAACAGCAAAAAATAAATATTTATTTTACCAGTGAAATTAAGTCTGATATATATCTATTGTTTTAATCGGCGACAATAGTTTACTACAATACCAGATTCTATATGGATTTTAAAATTAAAAACTTTCAGTCGACATTCATTGTATTGACAGATGTATCAAACCAGAAGTTCAAGTTTCCGAGAATCACCAAGCAATATGTATGTATTGTATTTTTGAACAGAATATACTTTATACCTAATAACTAAGTGTTTCTATGTTTCATCATCAAAAAATTATATAACTTGAAAATTGAGAACTTAAAAATGTATGCCAGACACTTACTTTATAATGAGGCTTATATTGTGGCAATTCTTTCAATAAGGCAAATTCTTCGGTCTCCACTGGAGCCAAACTCTTTTTAGCATTTATTTTGTAATGTGTATATCCTCCATATCCTGCTCCAACAAGAACACCCACACTTGCACTAACCAAGGTAAGTTTAACAGTAGATTTAGGTAATCTGCTCCTAGTTGAATAAAGGATTTTAGAAAATGCCAAATTTTCTCGCATTGAAGGAATTACAACTTTTTTCAAAAGTGAGAACGTCGGTCGCCACATTTCTCATTACACATCAATAGAACTAGAATAAACCGTTCCAGACAATCGATATAAAATTAAGTTGAAAAGTATTTATATTTTCTTTTATTTAGCCAAGTAGAGAAAATGAAAACGTACATCAATATATTTTAAACTAAAATCCATTAAATAATCGCAAAGAGAATCCACTTATTTTTTTTTTAAATGGACTTCTTCTTCTTTTTTAAGTCATGGCTATTTGCGTTTACACAATTCCGCCAATGTCACGTTTGTGGTCTTTACGTGAAAAGAAACAAAAATAAAATATGTCAATTTTGAATTTAAATAAAATAAAAAAAGATCTGAGCGCGTCTATTTGTATTTTTTTTATATATGGACTTGTTCCGTTATACACAGAAATTTTGCCAGTATCCCGTAGTGAGAGAGACACTTGACTCAAGAGACTGAACGGTAAATATAATTAACCAATTCTTCCTTGAGATTGTTCTTGTTCCGTTGGAATTTACCTTTCACCAAACAAAGAGTAGTGTGCAAAGCAAAGAGTAGTATTATAATTAGGGGAGCAAAGAGTATACAAAAAACCAAAGAGAAATGTACCCATACTAGGACTCAGACGTATTTACTGGAATAAGCTTTTGGAATAAGTTTTTGCCTGGACGTCTAATACTAAGTATCGAATCAGCGTCCAACGCGTTTCAAGTATTTAGAGGAATCGACTTACTCGTTACTAACACAGACTCCGATACTCGGAGACGCGGACGCAGACCTATTATACTACTCTTTGACGCAGACTTAGACGTCCAACGCGTTTTGAGTATTTAGAACGTAGACTGAAAATAGATTGTCCGTCTACGACTAAGAAGTCTTGCACTCACACAAACTTGGAGACTCCGAGACGCGAATCAAAAGGTCGCGTTCGATCTCAGTGGAAGTGAATTTATTCCTATTCTTACAATCTACCTAAACGTTATATGATAAAATCGCTTTTGTTTGGACTGTAATGAGGAAGTATTTAAAAAATAAAAATTAATTCTTCAAATCATAGTAGATGTCACTCGCGATGTTTGGATTTTGTTTATGATATTCATTCAAATTTTGTTTCTGACGTAATAAAAGTAAATTGAGTTTCGAAAATTAATAAGTATGCAGCGCTTTGTGTTTCTTATAATATCTTTAGGGTATTAAGTGTCGGACCCTATTTATGTTATCAGAAGGTTAAATAAGAAAACACGTTCACTCTGTAACTCCGTATATTAGCGACTAGTTAAAAAGTCTTTGTTCTACAGACGCTAACAAATTGTTTATAAACATCTTACAAACTAAACTGTACATGTACATGTAGGCATATGTGTCCCTACAGTACTCCCCCTCTTACAATAAAAAATAAAAGTACACATCACATATTGTAAGAAATGTAAAAGAACAGTACAATAAAGAACAATAAAAATAAAATAAACAATTTTTAAATAAATGACAAGTAATTAAAGTAAATATAAAATAATATGTCATATAAAACATTTAATTTTTATCGAATACAAATTCTTACTTATTAGTAAACAAATTAAATTAATTTACATGTTTCCTATCAAAAGCTTATTACTAAACAAAATTACTGTTTAATAGTATCTAAATCCTAACCAATCTAAAATTATATTTATTATACTCTACAAATACATGTTGAATATGGAATTGAACCTATAATTTCCACAACCACTAAACCTAATATTCACTATGCTACTTATTCACTACTATTCACGTATCGTATCGATTTGTTTACATTAACAAATGAGTAATATTTACATTAACAAATTGTGGGAACGCGGCGATCTTGTAAGCTGAGTACAAAAATTGGTTGACAAAAGTTCTTTGTTTAAATCAGTACCCACTGTTATTATTTCTAGAGCTATATCGATGAAATTGAAATCTTGAGAACAGAACTACCTATTATTTAATTTACAAAGACTTCCGCTTGCTTCGTATTTCGTATACTGTTCTCTATGCTTTCGTCCGTTCGACTAGCTACGCTATAGGTACGTATGTATTACGTCATGCTGTAAAACGTACGGGTGTATTGATAACGCGGCCACTACGCGTAGTTCTCGGCTGTAGAGCTTTACTGGAAGTGACCTCGTTATCTAAACTAGAATCGTTACTCTTATTAAAATTCGAACTATAACTAAAATCTTTATCACTATTTATAAAAAATGCTGGTTTTAATCTTTCTATTGAAATAGTTTTCGTCTTATCTCCTATTTTAATATCGAAAGTTTTGCCTTTCCGACTTACAACGTCGTAAGGGCCATCATAAGGAGGTTGCAAAGATTTACGAAATACGTCATTTCTTATGAATACACTCTTACAACTATTTAATTCGCTAGGCAGAAATAACGAACGTGAATTACCATGACTTGACGGTTTAGGTCTCAAACTTTTAATGGAATCGCGAAGATTTTGTAAATATTCCGAATCCGAGCAATTTAATTTGGAATCTTCATAAAAATCACCTGGCAAACGAATTGTTTTACCATAAGTTAACTCTGCTGCACTAACGCCACTGTCACTGCGGGTTGCGGCTCGTAAGCCTAACAACACGACTGGAAGCTCGGTCACCCAGTTACTATTGCAGTTTAAACGTGCCGTAAGTGACACTTTTAGTGCTCGATGCCATCGCTCAACCATGCCGTTACTCTGCGGATGATAAGGTGTTGTTCGCATTTTAAAAATACCTAGGTACTTCATTAGCTGACTGAAAAGATCACTCTCAAATTGTCTACCCTGGTCGCTAGTAAGCTTCGAAGGGCTTCCAAATCGAGATATCCAGCCTTCAAATACTACCTTGGCTACTGTTTCAGCTGTAATATTGTGAACTGGAAAAGCTTCCGGCCATCCGGTACAACGATCTATCATTGTTACGCAGTATCTATGTCCATCTGCCGATGTAGGCAACGGGCCTACAATATCTATATGAACATGTTGGAAACGGTCTGCACGCTCAAACTCTCCTAATCCTGCTATCGTATGCCTATTAATTTTTGATCTCTGGCAACTAAAACAGGTTCTAGTCCAACTCGCTATATCCTTAAGCATATTAGGCCAAAAGAAACGTTGTTTAATTAAAGTTCTGGTAGTCTTAACACCGGGGTGACTTAAATCGTGAACCGAATGAAAAGCAATTTTCCTGAATTTATCTGGTAAATATGGTCTAATTCTGTTAGATGAAATTTCGCAATAAATATATTTTTCGCAGTCTGGCAATAATATTTGTTTAAATTGTAATTTACTATCTGTTGCTTGCAACGCTTGCTGTAGGTATTCGTCACTAAGTTGTTGCTCAGCTATTTCTCTAAAATCGAGTAATGTAGGACAACTGATCGTTTCTATCCGCGAAAGTGTATCTGCGACTACATTTTGCTCACCGCTGATATGACGAATATCGGTGGTAAACTCGCTAATGTAAGATAATTGACGAATTCTTCTAGGGCTTTCTTTGTCGTTATTTAATTTTGAAAATGCAAAAACGAGAGGCTTATGGTCAGTATAAATAGTCAGTACACGGCCTTCCACTAAATTTTTAAAATATTTGATAGCCATAAATACTGCTAACAATTCCCTATCATAAGTAGAATATTTCGTTTCAGCTTGTGAAAGTTTTTTTGAAAAATACCCTAATGGTTGCCAATTGTTGTTATTTTTCTGTTGTAATACAGCACCTACACTAGTATCCGAGGCATCGGTCATCAGCGCTAAATTAGCATCTGGTAAAGGATAAGACAGTGTAGCGGCGCTTTGCAAGCTTTCCTTACACTTCTTAAATGCTTCGACAGCCTTATCAGTCCACACAATCAAAGTTTTATCGCGTTTTTTTGTATTGTGCAAATATTTATTCAATTCGAATTGATATTGAACAGCGTTTGGAATGTGTGCACGATAAAAATTTAACATACCGAGAAAACGGCGTAGTTGATCGACTGTCTCGGGTTTCGGGAAATTTACAATAGCCTGTACTTTATCTTGAAGTGGTCGCGCACCCTCCGTAGACACTTCAAATCCTAAAAACTCAAGTGTTGACTGACCAAAAACACATTTAGATAGATTAATAGTTATTCCATATTTATCAAATCTTTCGAAAACTGCCTTTAAATGCTCTTTGTGTTGACTTTCATTTTCGCTCGCGATAATAAGATCATCGATATAACTGAATAAAAAGTCTAACCCTTGTAGTACTACGGTATCCATGAAACGCTGGAATGTTTGAGCTGCGTTACGTAATCCGAAGATCATGCGCGGAAATTCAAACAGTCCAAAGGGCGTTATAATGGCAGTTTTTTCAATATCCTCCGGGGCAACCGGTACGAAATGATAAGAACGAATTAAATCTAACCGCGTAAAAATAGTTTTATTTCCCGCTAATAAATATTTAAAATCATGCAGTCTCGGAATCGGATAGCGATCCGGTTTTGTTATGGCATTTAATTTTCTGTAATCACCGCAAGGCCGAATATCACCATTTTTCTTTGGTACCACATGTAATGGACTGGCCCATTCGCTTTTAGATGGCCTACAAATGCCTAATTCCAACATGTGGCTAAACTCCTCCTTAACTTTCCTATAACGGTCAGGCGGGAGAGGTCTGGCTTTAGCGTATACCGGTGGGCCCGTAGTTTCTATATAATGACACACAGAGTGTTTAGGTGTCTCTTTGTAAGATACTATTTTCGTTATGTCCGGGTAACAAAGCAATAAATCATGCCAATTACTATTACCTGAAACAGTTTTAATAGATAATTCACATTCGTTATGACTTACAACAGAGGCGAGAACATTTAAATGTGTAATTTGATCTACTAACTTGCGCGCGCTCATGTCGACTAACAGCTGATAATGGCTTAAAAAATCCGCTCCTATTATCGGCTGTTTAACATTCGCTACGATAAAATTCCATTTAAATGCTCTCCTTAAATTAAAATCTAAAATTAAAGTACGCATACCATAAGTTTTTATCTCGGTTCCGTTAGCTGCATATAGTTTGTATTTATCACTCGCACTGTAATCGGAAACGCACCTTTTCGATGCCGGAATAACTGAAACGTTTGCACCTGTGTCAATTAAGAATTTCAGTCCACTTTTTTTGTCTTTAACACATAGGCGGTTATTCGATAACCCGATACCAACCTCCGCCTCCGGCCGTATCGCACTTAGTTTTCCGCTGGCTCTTGTGGCTTGGGCTTCCGCCAATTACAGGGCTCAATGCACTTTACGGCCTTATCTCCGTACCGATAATGGTAGAAACAAAGCCAATTAGGATTTCGTCGGTTTCTGGAATTCTCTCTCTCTCGACCTTGTGACGGTGCCCGACTGAATCTTTTTCCAGCACTGTAGTTCCTACCCCTGAACGGTCTACCGCGATCCGCTTGCCGAGAGCGCCTTAACTCCGCCACTTCTATGCTGAGACGTGCTACCAACGCTGCCAGGTCGGATTGCTCCGAACATGTAACTTTTGACTCACGCTCTGAAGAGTTGCTGCTGGTTGATACTTCAGCTATATTGGAATGCCCAGTGGCCTCCATGACCTTATCAGCCACTACAGCCAGATTTGTTATATCTGTCTCCTGTGTAACGGCCAACACAGCTTGCACTGGTGGTGGCAAGTGGCTATTCCACATGATTTGTAATGTCACGTCTGGTATTTTCCCACGGGCCAAATCTTTCATGCGCCGTAAGAGCTGCGAAGGCTTTTGACTGCCAAGCTCCATTTCACCAAGAAGCTTCTGGAACTGCCTCGTCTCCGACTCCTCAAATACATGCAGTAGTCTATCTTTGAGGGTCTGGTACTTGTGCTCACTTGGTGGTGATAATAATAAATCTCTCACCTGTGTAATCGCAGCCTTACTTAATTTAGTAACCACTAAATTTTGTTTAGCGGCGTCCGATAGTTTCTGTGACTGGATGACAGCCTCAAATTGGACAAACCAGAGTCGCGGTTGGTCTGCCCAAAAATCAGGAACTCTCGATGAAATGGTGATGGAGTCCAAAGATGATGAAGTCTCTGGCTTAACTTCGGGGTTGTGTTCCGAAACACGCGCTTGAGAACTTTCATTTTGTGGATTCATTGTTTATACTGCACTTTTTAATAAAAAAATGATATAAATGTTAATTAAATAAAATGTTCAAAACAACTAAAAACGTAATGTTCATAACACCGGTCACCACTTTAGGGTATTAAGTGTCGGACCCTATTTATGTTATCAGAAGGTTAAATAAGAAAACACGTTCACTCTGTAACTCCGTATATTAGCAACTAGTTAAAAAGTCTTTGTTCTACAGACGTCAGACGCTAACAAATTGTTTATAAACATCTTACAACTAAACTGTACATGTACATGTAGGCATATGTGTCCCTACAATATCTAACTTTCAAATTAATTTTAATCGTAAGTTTAAGTTGTTTATTCTGTTACGTGTAAAGGAACGATGATTGGTTTATACAGCAACATTAGTGATGAGCTAACTTATTGGTTGCTCGTACCTTTCTCATGAAAGCTATTCAGGTTTGGAATGAAGAACAAAAAGCGGATCGCAAAATTCAGCTTGTATTTGTATGTGTCATTCATTATGCATCCACGAAACGAATGATATTAATATAAATATCAAAATCAATTCAGTCTAGTCTGTTACATTAGTAGTTGTAACAGTCGAAAACTTTGCCAATGGTTCGCAAAACTAAGGCGGGAGATTTTGCACTGACAAGAATCTGTAAAAACCCTGCAAGGGCTGCTTTTTTAATTTCAACTAAGTATACTATATTTGAGGGAACGTAACGACCTAACGCACACGACACCACTGCAGGGATTTTAAGAGAGCATGACTACTAATATATTTTAATAAAACTGATTTCTTGAGTAGGTTGAGTAGGAAGTCAATGTATTATTAACAATATTATTGTAAGAACCAAAAAGCACATACCCACCGTTCGAATTAACACATGGCTTGACGTCCGCCGTCGACTTGCAAGATCAGTAGCGATAGTATAATAACTATACGTGTCTTTGTGATTATGAAATTTAAAGTTATAACCTTGCTGTTCGTTTAGAACAGACATTTCTTGTTGATTGCTGAATGTTTATTAAGATGATTTAATTATGAATATAAGATTTAATAACTGATCATAGTTTTTTAAAGTCTTAATTTCGAAAGCACAAGTTATTTGCACGTTTCAATTAGCACAAACGTCATTTTAGCCAAAAGTCATGTTATTTTGTACGGATACCTAGTATATTTGATACATATCGGGTAATTATATAGATAATAAACGTATTTTTTATTATAATCATCGTTTTTATGACTTTTGTTTTTTATGGCTGTATAGGTGAAGCTTATAAGCCTCATATAAACATTAAAAAACTATCTATTGTCAGTGCTGTGACGTCGTAACCTTCGAGTTTCCCCACTTTAATTAATAAAAAATATTGTGGACTTTTAAAATGTTTTATAATGCAACTAACATAATATTCTTAACGTTTGCTGGAAGAATCCATTAATAAATTAATTACCATTACCTTGTCCAGGCAAAGTAGAAAGGTACAAGTTGTTTCATCACCTGCTGTTATTAATTGGCGCCCAATTGTGACAAATAATTTATATCAAAGTTATATCGTAGATTTAGTTATCGAATGATAATGTATCTGTAGGGGAGCGGGCATGCCCGGAGAATGCTGTCGACGTCTCGGTCGCGGGGCTCCGGGCGCGAGCCTGAAGGCTCACCCCGGACTCAGGTCATAGCGCCCATGTCGGAGCGGCAGCAGTTGGCTTTAGTGATGCAAATCTCATCGCAAGAAGCCCTACCAGGTAAATTACATTTTAAATTCTCATTAATATGTTGATATACGAGAGAAATGTCATTTCCCGCCTTTTCCAATTCAGCGGCTCCAACCTCTCCATCTCCACCAGAAGAAAAGAAAAAGACAAAAAACCACAGATCAGAGCGTGGAGAAACAACACACAATACAGGATCTGCTCGAAGTGACCCTGAACATGTAAAAAAAATAGTAGACAAAACTCCTGAAGCCTGTGTTTACATTGGTAAGTTGTAATTTTTATAACATATTAAGGTAGTTTGATGAATTAAATAGTTAAATTATTATTATGTGATTGTTTTAACGAACCATTGTCGTTTAAAGTGAATAACTATTTCATACTTATAACACATAGTAATAAAAAACATGTCATTAATAAAAAATATCAAATTTTCCTAATAATATAGTAAATAGTATATTTTAGAAGTAGTTTGCTATTAAACAAGGGGTTAAGCAGTAGTAATGAAAGTTAAAAAAATTTTGTAAGTATATGTTTGCACTAGTAATAAAATGCTTTTTTTTTATAAAACTTCAGTAACAAAATGATTCATGACAAACATGGGCAGCAAGGTTTGTTGGCAACATCAATATTAACAGTTGTAATTGTATGCAATTATATTCACAAGAGAAATCTATAATCAAGATGTATACATCTGTATCCAGATATAGATTTCTCTCTACAAATATAACTAAAAATAAATCAATAAAACCAGTATATGATATGAAAACAGTTTATTATATTTGTTCCGTTTTGCTATATTGACTTATTTTTATAGAAAAATACTTAAAAAGCAATAGTGTGGATTGCATAATATTATCACTTTGATTCCAACCAACCTCAGGCACCTGGGGCTGTTAAAGCGTGACAATGCTTTGAGTATCCACAATTGAAGTTTCATATCTGATTTCAGATTTGAAGCATAGCTGAATTTTTATCAGATCTCTGTCTTTAATGATTTTTTTCACTATTTTGAGTTTAGATGAATATTTTTCTGATTGATTCTTCTTTATGATATCCCTTTGACTGAAATAGGCTATGAGGATATTTATCATGACACCGAAAATAAAGTTCTTCTTTTAATTGATACACATGCCAATACATGGGGCTACCACAATATGTCAAATTTTCACAATCTAATTTGAACTACTACAATGCATTAAGGTTTAATTTAAGTAGAGGAATATGATAGTGTGACTGTATTAAACCAAAAACTCTTTATAAACCTTCACTGTTTGCTCGCATTCTAACAATGCACATAAAAACTTATTGTACGAATTTCATAAAACAAGCTCTATATCAATAATCTCTTTTATTGACAACATAAAAATCAAACAAAACTATTAATTGTGTATGCAAGTAGGTTTTCAACACCTAAGAGTTTACCGTCCACCACCAGCTAAACTAAATTACATGTGCATCCACTGCAAACTATGCCAGCCAACCTTATTGAAATAGCTGAACTATGTCAAACTAAGTTTTGGCAGTTAGCCTAAAATTATCTCTCACGCGCAAGTATTTTTTCAAAAAGGAGTATTAATTTTAGTGATATCCATTTATTATATGTTGTCCCACATGTATGCCTCGTTTGTGAATCAGTGGTCCACATTCACACAGGATATGTTTTGGTGTTTCACATTCCTGTTTGCAATATCTGCAAATGTCAGCGTCACTTAGTTCCATGTTAAATAGTTGTCTGATTAGTTTGCAATGTCCAGATAAGATTCGTACAATTTACTTATATTTGCTCTGTTTAGCTTGAAAAGCTCTTCAGTTAGTATTTGTGATTGACCTGCAATTAGGGATTTAGCGTGATATAAAACAAATATTGCATAGTCACCATTGCCTCCATTCAACAGTCTTGACAGTGTGTCAGTGTAAGTGTGTTGAGCGAGTTTCCCAACATATTTACCTAGGTCTAACAGTCGACAAAAACTTTAATTGGAAACATCATATCGAAAATATAAATAATAAATTAAGAGCTATATTGGCAGAATTTTCTATACTAAATGTTAAGTACCTTCTGCTATCCTACTGCAATTATATAAATCACTAGGTGAGAGTATCGTGTCATATGGATTCACCACATATGGATGCACATTCACATCATATTTAAACCAGATCTATACAATTCAATTTTGAATTCTAAAAATGATAGTACTGAAGAAATTTAAAGAAAAATACACAAATAATGAAGTTGATTTATTTCATTACTGTAAAGTCTTTACTTGTACATGAAAAAGTAAAATATCTATTACTTGCAGACAACTATTTAAATTTCAGTAAAACTTTCGTCGAATATAAAACACACACTAGGCATATTACAAATAGAAAAATAAAGAAGAGAAAATCGGCAAAAAATTACTATGGAGAAAGAACAGCTGAATATATAATACCCAGATTAACGATTATTACCGATTTACCATTACAAATAAAATATGAAATCAATCAAAAAAACTTAAAAATTAAATTAAAAAAGTATTTTATGTCTGACTCGGCGCGTGCTAATCACAACTTGTATAAACAGTAGTATAGAATTACATTAAAATCAGTGATAATAACACAGAAAAGAAAATGATGGGGATTGTATCTCAAGCCTGTGTTTTAAGCACACCTAATCAGTTGGCTAACAGCAATGGTGAGTCGCGCACGAGTTCAATAAATAAAACCTATTAAATTATGATTGCTATTTTTTATTATTATCTTTTTTTAACAAAAGCTATTCCTTGATCGTAAAAAGAAAATATTTATTATATTAAATTATATATATTGAGAGTGTACAGCACCACAACAAACCTAACTAGTTTTCATTTATATAAGTTTTCATTTTATATTACAATAAAATAAAAAATAATCCCGGCCGTATATATGCCAGTATTTTTTAAATCCTTTTGCAGGTCATTCTTTAGAATTTGCATCACATGCTTTTTTGGGATACCACAAAAGGGCTCTGGGCCACCTGCCCTTGCTAATATTTTCATTGTCGATGATGCCCGAGTGTACTGGTACCCATTTAAGAATAATCTTATTCTTTTACCCCGGTTCATTCAATCTGTCAATACAGTCCTTTACCAGTTTCGAACTTATCAAGCTCGAATGTACGGCATTGAATGCTGACTATCAGAGTATATGTAAATGGTCTAGCTAGAGGAGTGTTCTCAAGGGCTGTTTGATATAGAGATCTGTGCTTGAGAATGCCAGTTCTTTAACCAGTAACGCCTACTCTGTAGATGCTAGCTTTCGCCTTTTTCATTATAAATAAATGCAGAGGCGGTAAGTTGAGCAGGGCATTAAGAGCGGCTCCTGGAGTGATATCTATGGTGATTATAGTTGATAACTCATTAAACCGGCGTAGTTTGCAATGGACGCACGGACGTTATGAAGAACAGGCTTAACTATACGAGTTAAACTAAACTAACTGAGTTTAGCTGGCAGTGGAAGGTCGGCTTTAATGCCTGCTTCATCTATTACTTGCCCATCTTTGACGATTTTCGAACTGAAGCCTTTACTTACACCAAGCTACCTATGTTTATATTTTTGTTGTTTTATTTTTGCGATTAAACGTGTGCATTTATGCGTATGTTCTACGTCTAAGTATATTCCCGCTTAATTTTCAATGTTTCTGCATCGATACGGGGTGCAAGTGTACGATTTCTTCTGATTATCTTAATACCGACTTTTTTGTCTAAACAAGATTTCGCATCCATCCGGAAGCTTAAGAAATAAGACGTAATAAAATCTTATTTCTTACATTATTTTTAAAAGATAAGGATGGCAGGAACGGTATAGCCGGATGTTACTCATCCTGAGTTCATTTGAGGAGAGCGCCCCCATATATTAGAATGAAACTGATATATGGTGCGCCATGATACAACACGACAGAGAAATGTGATTGTTGCCATTAGGATGTTGCGATACTCCCACGTCATGAATGTTTTATAATAACCACATATTACTTAAGCCCTATTAAGCGCGATTTATACTCCTCAAAGTATTGACTACCCAACAAGCAAAAATTGTTTTATAAATACAAAGTCGTGTAATCATAACAAAACCGCACTTGGACTCAAATTGGCTACTTGACTGTTTAGGAAAAAGTATTTTGAAACTTTCATAATTATGATCATATTAAAACATTATAAGTTTTATTTTTATCCAAACTGTTAAATAAAAATAAAACATATTTTTATTTATCAAATTTAATTGTTCCGCAAAAATAATTACGTTACATTTCGACCGGTGAAATCGTTGACGTTTAGTTTATTGAAATGTGACGTCAAATACTCCATCATGGCCGCCCGAGTTTCGATTCTTGTTATCCATATATTGTTTCTTATTATTAAGCTCAAGTTAATTATGCCTATATAAAATATACTTACAATTTATTTTAAAACAAACTAAATACTAGGGAATGTAATCTTGCGAGATTGGGACTCTAGCGAGATCTCGCGAGTTTATAAATATCAATACCGCGAGATCTCGCTAATTACGAGATCTCGCGAGATCGGCACTTTTGTGTGTTTGCTGTTTTCCTGTAATATTTATTCAAATCACAATATTTGAATAAATTAGGAAAAAATATAGGAATTATAGGTATTATGAAATGAACATAATAAAGTTTTGTGTATTTAACATTGTTTGACGCAATTATATTTTTTATCTAAAGCGGTTAAAAGAGCAGTTACTGTATTATAATCTCGGAACCGGCTCCAACAATTTTCATGACATTAAGTATGCAGGCGATAAATCGATTTAGTTAGGTTGAATTTTTTTAATTTATATATTTTCCGAGTAAAGCTTAGTCATGCAGGTACTAATCTTTTAAGAAACTAAACTTTGACGTATCTTATCAAATACGAAATGAAACGAACAACTAGTCTTCTCTCCTAATATCAAAGAAAAATTTAATTACAATATACAGTTTTTTATAAAAAATACAAAAACTAAAATTTAACTCATTAACTAAGTTGAATTGACTATTTAACTGAGATTATTATCCATGAAATAAAACTATGTGTACCCAGAGATCTATTAGAAATTAGAGAATAAATTTGCCAAATATATCAATCAATTTAAAGGCTCATTCGATTCACACCACGTGTCATTATTACGAATAATTTTGAAAATAGCTTTTTATGAAGCACAAAATGCTATTCGTCTTATTATGGTGCCTTCCAGATAACCAGCCACTGAGAAGACGCTTTCAAAAACACAAGTACTGTTAAAAG